CACTGAAAACCAATCTGAAATATTCCCAACTGGACAGTGATTCACATTCTAATCATACTGGGACTTGACTTAACACATGGTTTCAAAACTCAGTTCTGCTGAACTGGCTTGGGAGATTGCTACAAAGTTACTCCCTACTTAATGCCCTGTATTTCTGTCTAAAAACACCTGGTAAGTATACAGAGGTGCAAAGTCAAGGGTAAGATACCCAGTTCATGCACTGGAGAGAACCATAGTTTCCTTTTTCAAGGAGGCAAGCACGGTTCCTAGAAGTGCTTTCTCTGGAGAACACATCATTCCTATAATCCTAAATAACTTTGTAAGGCCAAATGCTCACTTGAAAGGCTCTGCCATACAATTCCTAAACTGCTCGTGTGAGGGCTGGACCTTGAAACTACCTGTTGCACCTCTCTGTGGAAGGTGAATGTCATTGTACTGCTGCATGCAGAAATGAAAGAATTGTAGGATTTTAGGAATTGATATTCAAGTGCTTTGAATGGAAACCATTATTTACCAAACCACTGTGTTAAAATAAGAAAGTCCCCCCCGCCCCCCTTCACTCTTGCTTGTCCACAAAATCTGGCATAATAAAATCTCCTTCTATGTAATTTTGAAGGCCTTTCCTAAAAAGCTCTCTTAAGTCAGCAGGAAGGAGATTTTAAGAATTTAAAAAAAGCTCAAAGGTCATTTCTAAGGAAAAACTGCTACAAGTGATTAAGAGAATATGCAACCAGGGGCGCCTGGGTTGCTCAGTCGTTGAGCGTCTGCCTTCGGCTCTGGTCATGATCCCAGGGTCCTGGGGTCGAGCCCCCCATCGGGCTCTCTGCTCAGCGGGGAGCCTGCTTCTCCCTCTCCCTCCTACTGCCTCTCTGCCTACTTGTGCACTCTCTCTGTCAAATATACAAATAAAATAAAAAAAAAAAGAATATGCAACCAAATGTGTACTCCAGTGGGACCCTGAATTCCAGTGCTGGCTCTGCCTTTAGCTTAATCTGTAATCTTAGCCTACTTTACGTAAGTTATGCAACCCTACCTTTTGCTATGCGGGACCATGATGAAGATGTGGGATAGTAGCCAAATTACTGTCTGGTCTTTCTTGTGTTGTATGTAACACATACTTGTATCTTTTCGCTTATGTAATGACTTCTAGTTTCCTATTTGTTAAAGGTTCATAAACCTGTAGTAAACAGGAACACATCGGTGTGGTGTATAAGAGCCTTGGGGGTCGAGACAGAAGACCTAACTCTAATCCTATTTGGGGCCTTATTTAGCTGGAGATCTCCAGTAGGGACCTCTACCCTCTCTGAATGTTTCCTCAGCTGTAAAGCGAAGGAATCTGACTTTTATCATTCTATGTATTTATTTTTAAGTGATCTCTGTGCCCATCGTGGGGCTCGAACTCACAACCCAGACATCAAGCATCTGAACCTTCCAGGCGCCCCTATCTTTCTATATTCTTGATAATTATAAGAGTATTTTGGCTAAAATGTTTACAATCATTTTAGAGAAGTTAGCATTTCTAGCTTCCAAGGTAAGTTTCCAGATTCTCTTAAATACAACTGACCTGGTGCAGTATTTTAATGTAAACCTTGGATTTTCTGTATATACCATGACCTATTGTATATTTTTTATGCTTATCTGTTTTACAAAGAAACATTTTTTGAAGGTTAGAGATAATTTTTAAAAAATGCTGTTTGAAATGTGTATATATTTCATAATTATTTGAAATAAAAAGGGTCCGGATGGTGTAGAAATACCCTGTATTTAAAATTTACATATCAATAGAAAATATTTACTGTTTTTCTAATTTTGGTGATGGACATCTTCTACTTTATTATATATACTCTTTATAGCATACCCCAAAATACATTTTGTTCCTGATCTTATATAGTATTTTGAAGGCTACTTAGCCAATTTTGCATAAATATAGTAATAGTAATACCAGCTTTTGTTTGGTATGTAACAGAGCTCTTCATTTTACAGATGATAAAACGAAGGCACCAAAACGTTAAGTTACTTGCCTGAGGTCACACAGCTAGGCTGGGATTTGAATCCAGACAGTTACAGAACCCAGGACTCTGACCTATCAGGCAATACTGCCTCTCATATGAAGAGCCCTGGGCCTCCGCCAGATTCAGAGAAGGAAAAGAAGGGAGGAGAGAGTTCCCCTCTAGCGCTCTCCTCCTCCTGGATAGAAACTGCATTCACTTTCACTCCCTAACTGTCCGCTGCTGGCCGCGAGAGTGCTGCAGTAGTACCCAGGGCTCCCAGCCCGCGCCCGCGTCGCCGGCTTCGAGCACTATCCACCGCCGCGTCCCGCCCGCCGCTGGGGTCGCGCAGGGCCCTGGCCGCTCGCCCGGATTTTCCTCCGAAACTGGCGAGTCCGGGAAACCCACTTCTGTCTCGGAGCGCCGCCTCCCGCAGGGACCTTTCCCGCCCACTCACCACCCACGCTGGGTGGGCAGGTCGCAGAGCCGAGACTCCCCAGTGCCCACCGCTTCCCGCCCACTCCCCCGAACATGGAGCACACAGACCCCGCCCTCAAACGCCCACCCGCTCCGGCTAGCTCCTAGGCCCCTCCCCCCGCCCACTCCCCACAGCTGGGAGAGGGGAGTCACCACGCACACCCACTCTAAAAGGTCTCCCCATCCCTTCCCGCTCGCGTGACGCCCCTCTTAGGTCCCCCGCGCGCCCACGCCCCCTCCCAGTCTCCGCAGCCTGGCCTCCGCGACACATTCCAACTTACCAAGCGCAGCTCCGAAAGTGCTGAAGACTCAATCGCCCGGGTTTGTTCAAGAAAAACACCAGTGGCGCCTGTACCTTAACCGACTTGGCGCGGGCCAAGGGTGGACGACAGTTCAGTCCATTAGGTTTTCAAGAGCGTAAATGCTGGCACCGAGTCAGATCCTCCAGGGTGCGTGTGCAGGCACTTCCCGGGTCCCCCGCCTGAGTTGCGCTTTTCTTAAAGGGAGATTCTGCGATTCAGGGAGTGTCTCCTCTTCCTTCCTACCTGCGCTCAAACTGCCCGCCTCCGGCGCTCGGCCCGGTGAGAACGCCGACGACTCCACCGCCTGGAGTTTCCCAGATCTACTTCGGGGGTCAGTACTCATTTTAGGCTTTAAGGGCTAGGCTCTCGCGTCCCCTACCCACTCACTGACCCCAGGCCACAGAGGTTGAATCGTGCGGAGGCCCTGCTGGACCCGACAGAAACTGATCCTGGTGGTTGGACGCCACTCTTGAGACCCAGTCACACCCTAAGCCCATACACCCCCACAATACGCACTGACTGACCTCCGGACTGAACCGGCGGATGAGGAGACCGACCTGCACCCGCTCCCGCCATCGCTCGGACGACCAGAGCTCCAGGTCCTGCCCTGCGTGCGCGCCCCGCTTGGCCCCGGCCACCTCCCAGCCCGAGGCCTTAGAGTGAGTCCGAGAGGGGGAAAGGAAGATTGAGGATGCGGGGTACTCACGATTTCACCGTCCGCCGGGCGAGCCGGAGGGGAAGCTCCGGCCAGCTTGCCTCCGTCGGCCGTGCGCATGCGTCCCGCGTGTGCCTTTTTTTTTTTTTTTTTTTTTTAACAATACCAACTGGTGGCCTTACTACGCCCGCGACTGCTTTCCCCGGTTTTCCTCTTCTTCTGGCTCTAGGTCTTTCCTCTCACCTTCTCCCTCTCTCACGCTCCCTCAGCTCTGCCTCCTCCCCGCCCCCTCACTCCCGCCTCCCCGGCCGGACTATCCCGGTCTCTCCTCCCTCTGGCGGCGGTGCGCTCCACTGCGGCGGAGGCTGGGGGGGTCGCTCCGGGCCCCAAACTGGACCCAATCCGCAGCGGGACTGTAGCCTCTTCCTCCAGTCCGGAATGAGGCAGAATCCAGAGTGTGGGCCCTAAACCAGGCGAGCGCAGAGAGAGTCTGCAAGACCCCCTCTGCGCTCCCTCCCTTCGGCGCGCGGGGGCTGAGCGAGACTCGGCTGTGCGGGAATGCGTGCTCAGACCTTGTGAATGAAGGGGGGCGGAGGGCGCGCCGCGCGCGGAGGGCGCGGAGGACGTGCCCTATCCCTGGAGAGTCACGCCGTGGACTACCCCGCCTCTGGAGGGCAGCCCCCTACCTTCTCTCTTTCCCCGGGTGCTTCTCCGAGCTCGGCACCCGTCCCACCCCGGTACTGCCTCTGCTGGTCCCTCACTGGAAAGGAGTTCCACGCCCTCTTCCTGCCGCCGGAGCCGGAGGCCCCACTAGGTTGGGGGTGGGGGTGGGGGGGTGGCTAACTCCGGATTCCGGATCCCGCTGAGACCCTTTGCAGCTGCCTTCCGTCCCCAGGGGCTCCGAGGTCCAGGGGTAGGGAGAGACCTGGGGGTGGAGCGGAAAAACGCTTCCTCCCAGCTCCGCGGGCCCAGAGCACCGCGTATCCCTATAGACCCCGCCGTGTGCCCTCGGGAGCGAGACGCCGACCGACCGCCCGAGCCCGGCGCGGGAGCTTGGAGGGCTAAACTGAAGCTGGAAGCTGACCTGACACAAAAATAACATCACGTCATTTCCTCCCCGGCTTCCAGAGCCTGCAGACGCTGAGAGGGCAGAGGAGTGGGAGAGCGAGGAGGGGGCGGAGGCGCGTCGGGGGGAGGCTTGGTAGGAAGGGGGTTGAGCGACACGCTGAGAACGAGAGTTTGAGAAGAGACTCAGAAAGGGTGAGGACTCCCTCCCGCTTCCACAGTTTCCATTGACACTGGAAAGAAATGGTCCAGGAAAAAGTAGCTTCGAGCATCTACTGCGGAAAGGGGGTGTCAAGCTAGGCGCCGGCTCCTTTTCCTTGAACTAGCTCAAGCCTCTCTTGACCTTCCTACCAAAACTCTCTGCCCCTCCTCCGGCCCCTCCCGCCCTAGCCCCTTGCCGGCGGGATCCCCGGCTGGCCCGGGTCTCAGGTCAGTCAAGGTTAGGAAGGTGCAGGGGATGCTGGTGTCTGGGTGAGGGCGGCGGTGGGGCGTGGTGGAGACAACTGTACTCACGGGCATGGGCGAGCTCTGCCCAGCGCAGGCGTCCTCTTCCCTGGGAAGGCGTTCCCCTGGGGGTCGGCTGGGCAGTGCCAGGGCTGCCCCCAGCAGGAGCTGGAGACGGCCTGGCCGCTCCCCGTGCCCCCGCGAGAGCCCAGCCGCTGGCAGGGAGCGAGCGGGAAGCAGGAGGGACAAGTCCGGGCGCCGCCGGGGAGCCCCTGAAGGGGGTCGCCGGAGAAGGTGAGAGAAGAATCGCGCGAGGCCAGAGAGCGTGCTAGAAAGGAGGCTGAGCAGCTTCAGGGCAGCGGGCGAGTCTGGGAGCTGTGCAGGGCCGGCGGCAGGAAGGGCAAGAGGCAGGGGGAGAGAAATAAAACAAACACACCATTACTGTTGGGTCTAGCTACAGACTGAAGAAAATGTGCATTTAGTATCATTTACTACAGAATTTTGAGGCTGTACTTTGGGGGTGCAAGAGAAGGTAGGTGAGAGCAAAAGGAAAGGCCTTTGGTTGGATTCTTCTTCCCCTTTCTCTCCTTTCCCCCCTCTTTTCCCTCCTCCTCCCCTCCCCTCTTTCTAACTCTGTGCTTCTCATTGTGGTTCTTGAACCAGCAGCTTTAATAACAACCAGGAGCTTGTCAGAAATACAGAATCTGGGACCCTATCCTGAGCTACGGCATCAGAATCTGAAATGTTAACATTCCCAGGGGGTTCACATGCACCTTAAATGTGAGATACAGTGTATAGAAGCATCTTTATTCAGACTTCTCAGTTCTTTAGGATTTCCTAGTGAATGAACATCTTCTAGCTCACTTTTGCAACTCTTGCTCTTCTCCTGCTTTCCCTCTGACATTTCCCACCTCCTAAAGTGCCTAGAGCTCTCCCTGCTGAGGCACTGAAGTTGGACTTGGTTACTAGGTTCTGTTGTGAGAGGTGTCTGGGGGAGAATTGATTAGTGTCAGAAGACTGAGCAATCCCAGACCCAGGCTGGGTGGGAGAAGGGACTGGCTGATTTGACTTGGGTTGTGCTGGTTGGCGTAGTGGGATACGAGGACTGTGTTGGGTCTCATGAGTGCACACTATGCAGGACCCTTTTCTGCACTCGATGTGTCCATCTTATTCTTAGGAACACAGGCCTTTCCACCTTCCACTTGTTGCTTAGGATATCTAAACGGCCAGTAGAAAGGTAAGATTATTGTTATTATTTTCTTTGAAAGTAGAGGGAAGCATTACTTTAGAAGTCAGAAGCCCAAGGTTCTAAACTGAGCCTTGCAACTAACTCCTCAGCTAACCTTGGGAAAGTCTCTTTATTCTTTGAATTTATCTGCTTCATTTATAGAGTAAAGGGATTGAACTCAGTGGCTTCTTAAGGTCACCTAACTCCTCAGGCTCTCATTTTGGAGCTCTTAGAGCTTCTTGGTCCACTAACATTTAGAGAAGCTACGATCCAGAACCTAACTCAGCCAATCTAAACAGCTCCCTCAAGCAAAACAAAAAGACAATTTAATCTGTTTGTGAAAAACAAGAGTGGTGGTTGCCAAGAAAATTGAAGGTGGAGGCGGGAAGCAGCGAATACAAGTGACAGGGTGGCGAGGCGCGGGAGGGGTTTAGGCGAGCGGGGTGGGACGGGAGTCCCAAGGGCGCGGCGGCCGCTCTCCAGGGTCCTGAAGGCGGGAGCGGCCGCGGGCGGCCTCCGCGGGTTTGGCTAGGTTCCCCCGCGCTGCAGTTGCCAGGCCCGGCTTGTTTTCTTTGGGCTGTGGAAGTCTTGTGGGAAGCGATTGTCGGGAGGGAGGGAGGGAGGGAGGAAACCTAGCAACCCATTCTCATTCATGAGGCCCTTTCTGGGAAGTCGCCGAGCGTGTTGGCTGATTTGTCTTTCGATCGTTTGTATGCGCTCGGGGAAAGAGTGGAGCTTGGTTTACATTTCCGAGTGAGTTCACACTGTTTCGCTTCCCCTTATTACCTTTTCCTGGAGAATTAGGTCTTTCTCCTAGTATTTTTATTCTCCTCGTTCATATGCGTCTCTCCCCTCCCCCGCTCTCTGGCACCGTGAGTTTATTTTAGGGGTTGGAGCTGAGAGCCGGGGAGGCTTCTGGAGAAGTGCCAACAGCTCACTCGAGGCGGGGGGGAAGTGAGAGATTTAGAAAACTCTCGGAGCCGTCCTTGGCGCCGGGGAGGAGGACAGGGAACCAGGCCCTCGGTCTGGGGTTGGGGTGGGTGCTCCGCCGGCGCCAATCGAACGCGGATGCGGCGGGAAGCTGGGCTTGGGCGGGTCACAGCTAACTTCGTGCGCACCTGCGGGTGATGGTGGGCCGCGGCCGCGTCTGTCCGGAGCGCGCTTCTCGATGGCAGCAGAAGCCTAAGGGGATGCGAGCACCGGGGCCTGAAGGACCCCATGCAAAGAAAGTCAAGAAAGAACCGGTTCAGCCCCTGGCGACCCAGAGCTTGAATAAGACCACCCGCGACCTTTCCCAACCAGCCTTCATTGGAGGGCTTGAGCAAAGCTTAAATCGCTGAAAATGAGCTGCAGGCACACTTCGGCGTCGCATGCCCCACTCCTAGAGGCCCGAGGGAAGCATCATGGGACTTCCGTGAGTCCCAGAATTTGCCTCTCCAGCTCATATTTTCAAATGGTTTTGTGAGAATGTGTGAACCGGTAACCTGACCCTTCTCTCTTCTTCCCTCACAAGTCCTTCTTCCCAAGTCACTTGCAGCCCCTTCCCCCCGTCACGCTTCATTAGGCATTTTGCTTCGGTCCTTTGCTTCAAGACAGAGACGCTTGTGAGGAAAATAGTGAAAATGTTCAGGCAGAATAAAAGTCTTAAACTCAGCCCCAGAAACACAAAGCCCTGGCTCCACTGCTCCTTTGGAGACATTCAGCTTTTACCCTTCCCTACATTGGTCTTTTTCTCTCAGGATCAGCAGCCTGCTCTCCAATTCTGGCTGGTGTCTGGACACACTCTACAGTCAGAGCAAGTCTGGGCAGGGACCACAGGCTTCCCTAACAAGCAGGGGTGTGAAGCATGATAGGAGCAGTGTGCTGAAATCTGACTTCCTCTGGCCCTCCTGGTAAGGACAGAGCCCTGGGAGTATCAGTGTAGTTACAAAATTCGATCTGAGAAAGTTATCTGAGGAAAGACCTTCAGCTGCCCACAGTGCTCCAGAGATCCCTGTCTTCCTTTTAGGCCAGATTATAGATGACAGTCTGAGGGTTTCACTAGTACTAGCCACAAAACGGAATCATCTTGGAATCTGTATTCCTAAAAGCACCACTCCTTAGGGATCCAGAAGACTTAGGCAATACTTTATAAAGATCAAATATCCACTTCCCTAATGAATCATATTGGCTATTGAACCATGCAGAGGAAAAACAGTCACCACACCCAAATAAATATACACAAAAGCTCATCCCTTTAAAAGGCAAATTGAAAATTTTCATTCACCCCTAAATAATATCATTTCGTAAAAGAAATATCCATGGCAGAATTAAACTACTTTTAACCAAAAATTTCTCAGAGCTTTTAGAATTAAAATCACAGTTAGAATGGAATTTGAAATTAGATTTAATTTTATGAGATGACCTATATTTTTTTTCTGGACTCTTTTTTATTTTTATTTTTTAATAATTTTTTTATTATGATATATTACCTGGACTCTTTTTTTTTAAATTCTGTTTGATTTGGTTTAGTTATATTATACATTTTATTTTTCATTATTTGGAGAAGCAATTCCTCCACTTGGATCTAAGAACCTAATTGGCAGTGATTTAAAACTCTAATGGCAAGTCTTTGCTTGTGCTGACTATAAAGCATGCAGATTGGAAGATGGCAAGATATAAGATAGATCATGGATATTAGAGTCACAAGTTAATATTAATTTGAGGCCAAACTATTAATAACTTGTTTCTGTTAGGGTTCACTTCAAATCTCGATGTTCTTAGTGAAGGTACAACTGTTAAAAAGAGTATCTCTGTAGCTCATAATTAGTTCTGACTTGATCCATTCTTTTAATAACTTTTTAAGTGGATCTATGCCTAGGACTTATATGGAGGTGTTATAAGTAGACGTTACATAATGAAACATTGATACTGAGGAAGGTGGGGCTAGGAACAGAAGTGGAGGGGACCAGAAATAAGGGCTACTTAGGTGACATGTATGTCTGGGGAAGGGAAACACTGCAGGTTCTCTCTGCTCAGTTCTTTCAGAGATAACCAGGCTCTCTGCTTTCCTGCTGGTGTTGTTAACTGAGTGAGGAGTGTAAGATAAGAGGTGGGTCTTTATTTGAATATATATATATATATATATATATATATATATATGAATTATATGCAACGCTGAACTCTTAATTTTACCCTCCAGACTTTCTCCTCCATCTCAGTGAATGGCAACTTGATCATTTTTGTTCAGGTCAAAAACACTGGAGTATCCCTGCTTCTTATATTTACAGCTATCACTCTGAATAGTGATATAGGCTGAAGTGGGTCTCTCCCAAAATCATATGTTGAAGTCCTAACCCCCAGTATTTCAGAATATGGCCTTATTTAAAAATAGAATGGTAGAAGATATAATTAGTTAAGATGAGTCATGTTAGAATAGCATGAGCCCCTAATCCCATATGACTGGCGTCCTTATAAAAAGGAGAAATTTGGACACAGACACACACACCAGAAGAACGTCATGTGAAAATGAAAACAGAGATGGAGGTGATGCATCCACAAGCCAAGGAATGCCAAAGATTGCCAACAAATCATCAGAAATGAGGAAGAGGCATAACAGATTCTCCCTCTGAAGAAATCCGGCTACAAGACTGAAACATAGAAACCCTGCCTCAGTTTCCAGACTGTTGACCTACCCTGCAGATTTTAGATCAAGACTGAAACATCAGTTTTAACCTGAATTTCCAACCTGCTGGCTTGCCCTACAGATTTGAGACTTGCCAGCCAACACAATCGAATGAGTCAATTCCCTAAGATAAATCTCCCTCTCCATCTTCCCACCCTTCCTCCTCTCCCCTCCCCAATTCTCTTTCTCTCTCATCATCATCTACCGGTCACATATATATCCTATAGGTTTTGGTTCTCTAGAAAACCTTGGCTAATTCTTTCTGGTACAGGTCTTATCATCATTCACCTGGACTATTGGATTATCCTCCTAGCTGGTACTTCTACTTCCCTTTTGCCTCATTTTCCCTTAATATTGAAGCCAGGATTTTTCTTTAAAATGTAGGTCAGGCTATGTCACTCTGCAACCCCAAACTTTCTATTGGCTTCTTGTTTCAGAGTAAAATCCAAAGTCTTATATTACCCTCAAGGCACAACATGAATG